GCAAATGCGTAGTCCCTGATGATTACACACACCGCGCGAAACGTCATGTCTTTGGTCAAAGTGTAACCGTGGGTTACCTTAGGCTCGGCTCTCGATGCATAGGAAGCGGAATGCCAGGGCTGAACCTTGTTGGCGTCCTCGTGAGCAGGCTCTGATGCCTCTTGTTCTTCCTCCTCGGATTTGTCCTTGCTGCCAAACTTCTGGGCTAACCTTTGACGAATGCTTAGACCGGACTTTGATTTCTTCTTGTCTTTTCTCGCATCATTTGATCCTGGGTTGCCCCTCGCAGCTTCCTCGTCAGAGCTCGAGTCGGAAAGCTCGTCTCCGTCCCAGACATCGACCTCGACGCAGCGACATCCTCGCATCAGGACGTTCTTGTAGGCATCGATGCTGGCGTCGCTTGACAGCTGGTTGCCGGTAAGGTATGTGTTGTGGCTCGAGGAGATGAAGTAGTTGGAGATGGGATGCGACTCGTCGACTGGTTGCGCAGGCTTCAGGACGCTTGCTGAGCCCGACATGAAGTAGTTGGCGAAGTTGGAGAATGAGCCGTCGGCCAGAAGCTCAGCATTCTGTCCTGAGCATTCCTGCTCCTCGAACAGCCACTGCTGTTGCCCTTTCTTTGTCGTCAAGTCGTAGCGCGTTGTGATCTGGTCGTAGACTCTCTTGAGGTGTTGCGTAAGGAGTGGTGACAAGGCATCGACCTTGCGAGCTGCAACAGAGGCGGATGCTGTGCCACCGCCTGCTTGAAGCTGTGGGTTGTCGACCTTGGGCGTACCCAGCTTGCTGTCTTTCTTGCTGTCTTTGTCGGGCGACATCTTGTGTGGATGCTACGAACACAGCGGGGTCGAAGGGAGAATAAAGTCAGGAGGGGCGGCGAGAGGGTTTATAGGCGGCAGCAAAGTGCAGAGTGGCAGCGGTGAATGATCCTGGACGCGTATGCGTGCCTGAGTAATGGCTGAATCCAGGCAGCTCAGCTGGCTCTGAGGTGTCAGTATCTCCTTCCAAATTGCGCAATTGATTGATGGGCGAGTATAGTTAAGATACATGCAATACGCACCAAAGATATGCGCAACTCAGTTTCGCGACTACAAAGCCTTTGTGGAGTGGTAGCGGGATCTAATTGTGAAGGTATGAGGGGTGCGGGCCGCGACGTTGACGCGGGCGCAATAGCCTCATGGTCAGCTCGTGCCTGCCTTGGCTTGCCGCATCGGCGTTTGATCATCCAATTGGTGGAGCACGCTCATCGCTAATACCTGCTGGAAATTGACACGCAACTTCCGACGTTTGCTGCATGCGCAAGTTGAATGAATGGGGGCTGCCCTGTTTGCGGCGCTGAGTGAAAAGGGTCTAGCTTTGACATGTGCGTCCGCAGCCTCGCCAAGCCCACCGACGTCACTCAGGGTCCAGCATGGCCAAAGATATCATCGTTCGATGAGCACTGACATTCTTGACGTAAATCACATTCACAATGGTCAAGTCACGGAAAGAAGCAGAGAGCGAAGTCCGATCTTGGGGTTTCGACCATGTGTTCACGTGGACCGATAGCCCGTGAGTACACCATCGCTCTACTACATTGAATGTAGACTAACTTCCTCATAGCAATGCGCACTACTCGCCACACAAACACAGCGGGAAAACGACACATCTCGTACTCAATGGCTCTATAACGTACACATACCCTGATGACCCCGACGCGAAAAAGGAAACAATAGGACCCGGCGCTAGATGGGATGTTGATGCGAACAAGGTGCACGAAGTATGGGTAGGGAACCAAGGTTGTACATATGTCATTGGAGAATGAACTATCGGAGCACTGCGCCCATGCCTGTTCAGCATCGCTTAGCCCAAGAACCCATGCTGTCCCAAGTATTTGATAGCGTCGAGTGCCAATTGGTCTGCCTTGACCAGCTCCTGCTCTACCATGCGCTCGTACAATCCCTGTAGTTTTGTTTCCTTTGGAGGATGCTGGAATTTGCATTTACGGAGATAAGGGCACTTCCCGTTGCGCTTCCAGTTGGTGCACACACTCGTTTCCTTCTTTGCGGCGACTGGTGCCCGCGGGGGAGGGGGAACTCGAATGACTGGTGGAGCAATCTTTGAAGATGTGGGTTCTGGCGCTTCGTCGCTGTCGTCTGACTGGGACTCCTCTTCCTCTTCATCTTCCTCTTCTTCGGAACTTGATACCACAGATGACTCTGATAACACTGAACTTTCAGCCTCAGACTCCGTCTCGCTCTCGTATCCTAAACCCAGATCCACCACGCTCAGCGCAGATTGCTTCTTTATCATGCTCTCGTGAAGTTTCTTCCGCAAAGCCGCGAGCTCTTCTTGCCTGCGGTTCTCGGCATCCCGTTTTGCGCCGTCTTCCTTCTTGGTCGTATTCTCCTGCCTCCTTTCGCGAGGCTTCGGTTGTTGAATCTGGTCGTCGACGTGGTGCTCCCTCGGGGGCTTGCCGCTCACTCTGCGCAAAAAGTCGATCTCGGCTGCCCGTTTCCTCGCGGCTTCCTCTGCCTTCTCCACGATCCTCTTTTGTGTCGGAAAGTTTCTTCTCCTGTCCTTGATCCATGCAGCGACCTCGGCTCCTGTTTGAATACTGATCATCTCTCCTCCATGCTCGAACGCGAAGCCTCCGCCCTTGAGCTTCTCCGTATATGCGGCCTCCTCGTCAATGTCTTCTTCATCACTACTCTCATCGGGAACAGGCTGCTTCGAGAGTCCGAGATTGACCTTGCGCTTCTTATTGTCCGGTCGCACCACGGGAGGTGGAGGCAGGGAGAAGCCGAAGCTGGGCACCTGTGGGGGTACGGCGGCCTTGGCCCTCGGTGGTTTCGAACTTGGCTGCGGTGTGTTCCGCTGCTGTTGTGCGTTGCTATTCCGGTCGTTCAACTTTCTCTTTTGCCCTGCATGTTGAGGCGGCGAATATTGAGGGCTCGGTTGGTACTGATGGGACTGTGGTGACTGGGGAAAGGGGACGTTGCCTGTGCTTGTCATGTGGTTGGCGTACGCTGCCATGGACTGTACACCGGCCGGTGTCGACATGTATGACATGACCTGGGCGAGAGCGTTGGGGTCGTATTGCTGCTGTGTCGCGCCATATGTTTGCGCGCCGCCGGCGAAGGACGAACTATTGTAGCCATTCGGAGAGGCAGTGTTGGGCAGCGCATTCGTCTGATGTTGTGCGTTGCCGGCATTGTAACCTCCCCTGTTATTTGCGCCGCCTCTGTTGTTCTGATAGCCTCCTCGCTGGCCTCCTCTGCCGCGCGCATCTCCGCGACCGCGACTCTGCCCATGACCACCTCTTGGATTGCCTCCAGAGCTATTGAAGCCCCCTCCACGGTTTTGATTGCCGCCTCTCCCGCGACCCCTATCACCGCCTCCTCGGGCAGGGCCGCCCCGTTGACTCGCGTATGGTTGCTCGCCGGATGTAGCCTTCGGCGGCGGCGGAGGCGGAGGAGGAAATCTGAAGGACGACATTATTGTGGTTGAGGAATCGTGACGCGCGCGAGTAGAAGTGCTAAGACATTAGGTATAATAGTTACAAGAATCGAATGATGGTAGGGTGGGAATCGCGAAAACGCTGGGAAGGCCGTTGCAGGACATGCGACGCGCCTCGGGAGTCCGCAAATCCCAAAAGTTCCTTATCGATACCACTAGCGCGGCGCTAGTGGTCACCCAGAGGACTCTCACCATCAACTCCATTGTCTATATCCACCATGTCCAGGTAGCGACCGGTTCTCTGCTCTTATACCCATGAAGCCTCCAAAGTTGCGACCATGTTCATACTTGTAAGTTGCTCCCAGTTCCAGCGTTTCCTTTATCACATACGCGCTGTCGCGCTGCGCGACGGAAAATTTGAGCGGAAGAGAAGGATAGACTATGACTGCAGTTACGCGTGATACTTAGTCGCTCATGATCGAGACATACATACTCTTTGAGTGTTGTACTGATATTCGCGCAGACCACGATTCAAGACTTGATACAAATCAAGCCGCAGGACTTCGAGAAGCCTAGCGCACAAGCTATCAAAGATGTAGTCAACGACAAGTACAGCAACAGGATCGTTCCTGGCATTGGCCTTTGTCTCTGCATGTGGGATCTCATTTCAGCTACCGAAGGTCTGATCGGTCACGGGACTGGACTTGTCAATGTCAACAGTCAGTAATCTCGCGCCGTTTTCAAGCTGTTCACTCACACTAGTCACAGTCGAATTCCGCATGACCGTCTTTCGCCCATTCCGTGGAGAAATCATCTACGGACGGATCAAGTCATCCAACGAAGAAGGCATCATTCTTGACCTGGAATTCACGTCGGAAGTCTTCGTTCCCTACCAAAATCTACCAGAGAACTCGTCCTTCTCTAAAGCTGAGATGGTGTGGATCTGGAACTCTGAAGGCACAGAACTCTTCTTCGATAAGGGCGAGCCAGTTCTGTTCAGGGTAGAGCATGAGGAGTGGTATGATCAACGGCCGACCATTATAGAAAAGGATGAGAAGGGCGAGATCATCGAGGAGAGACCGACGGCCTGGAAGATAATAGTAAGTTGTGTGCTATTTGGGGTTGATATAATGTCTAACGTGAGTTCTAGGGCTCCATGGCTCAACCCGGTCTTGGTCCGACTCTTTGGTGGGCCGAAGGCGGAGAGGAAGAAGAGGGTGAGGAAGGTGATGTCGACATGGAGGGCGCCGAAGAATGATGAGTGCCAGCCAACGCACTCATGCCACTTCCCGAGATACCCAATCACAACGCACACTCACCTCAACCCGTCGGTTGCCTTGCATATCACATCACTAGTGTCCAGGCAGAGCTTCGCGGTGCGCGTCATTACTACCATCATCATCTCATTTCCTGAACCCTCTGAATGTTTGTTGACTTTTGGTTTGCTTTGACTGGTTGAACTTGTCTGCTAGATAAATCCCGACGCTGTAACCTACGCAAGATAGCCACCTCCTCAGCCAATTCAGCGATCGTCAGCACGGATGGCGACCTTCAACCATGACAAAATGTGTGTGTACTACATGGCTCTCAAAGACAAATACCATCTACCGGATGCTTCACGAAACTCCCCTGGTATGACAGTGGATGCCGAGCTCCTGGAAGCCAGAGGATCTGCACTGTTCAATGCGATCCAATTGTGTACGGCAATCTCACACGGCTGCACCGCTGATTCGGTGAGGAAATATCTGGAGCACTATCGCAACGACAAGGAGGAAGTCCAGGAAATAGTCGATCAGGCTACGCCCGTCCTCTACTACGCCATTGGAAGGAACTCGCCTGAGCTGGTCAACGTCCTTCTAGATTATGGTTTCAATCCAGAGGGTTGCACTGACGCGACGCACTTCATTCCGGCGCTTGCTTTTGCGGTCATCCATGGTCATATCTACCTACATGATACGACCACGATCGTAAAGCTATTACTTGCGGGTGGCGCTGATCCCAAGACAATTCCTCAGGACATGTGGCAGAACTACCTGCGGAAACCTCCGGAGACCTGGTCATCTCAGGAAAACGAAAAGGCTTCGCCCCTTACGTGGTGCGACCCGTCTACCCGAGCCATTCTGGCACGCGGCCTCAATCTCACCCAGCGTTATTATCTTCACCGAGCCAGTTTGATCCAGCCATTCGAAGTCAGAGAATTACAAGCCGCCAAACTCTTACAGGTGCATGGTCTTCTAAAGCTCCCCTATCATATCGTCGGCCAACTTCCTGTGCTTCACGACTTGCAGCAGCGGATATTCAACCAGATAGCCGCAAACCAAGATGGTCCAAAGCCTTTCGTTATGGTGTTTGCTGGCCCTCCAGGACACGGGAAGACTGAGCTCGCTGACAGGTTGGGAGATCTGCTACGTGTCAAATCCGAAACGATCTCATGTTCGCAAATGCACTCCGACATTGAGCTCCTGGGCTCGAAAGAAGCCTATCAACGCTCATCGCAGGGCTCCAGGCTCAATAATCTCCTGTCAGATAACACTGGCAAATGTACGGTGGTCTTCCTCGATGAGTTCGATAAGACGTCGCAAGAAGTCTGTGACGCGATTCTAGACACTACGGAAGGTGAGAATATTTCCCTTTCATCTTAACGTATACCTTTCAGCTGACACAAGAGGCAGGTAGATATGTAGACCGAAAGAACAATCGTAAGGTCGACTGTTGCAAGACTATCTGGGTACTAGCGAGCAACTTGGGTCAAGCGGAGATCAAGTCGTACTACGAACGAAAACTCAAGCACCTGACAGACGAGGAGAAGCAGGGCGCCAATCTAGCGCCCCTCGTGCGCAATCTCAAGGATATCTTCGAAGGCCGCTGGGGAGTATGATTTCTAACCTTGATCACCAAGACAACAAATGGCTAACGTGAACAGGACGCATTCGCATCTCGCATCAACAGAATCGTCCCGTTCTTCCCCTTCTCGCATGGTGAGGCAGCCGTCGTAACGCACAAATTTCTCCTCGACGACGCGGCGAAGGTTCGCAAGAATATTGATCTGCGCCCAGAAGTCCTACGGCACATGGGCCACTGCCACATCAGCTAACAAGACGACGGCAAGCTCTGTGGTCACTTGGCTAAGCGAGGATACAGGGTCAAGTCCGGAGCCCGGGGGCTGAGGAACGAGGCGCAAGATGTGCAGATCTTGGCCCGGAAGACGTACAACGCCCTCCCTGGTCTTGTAACCGAGTCGATAAATGAAGGTCCGTTGGAGAAGCTTGAGGTTAAACTGATGCAAGATGGAGACGAGTATGAGGTTGGAGTGTTTAAGAACCGGGACGATTGAGATGCTGGAGAGTGTGCACGCTGCTTGACGATGGAGTCATTTCGAATCAGGTCTATTGTTCGCTGTCTGGTATCAGGGGACGATTGTTCGCTCTAGTCACGTCAACTATCAATGCTATCAAGTAGATCCAACATATGTTTCTGACGTCTCATCCTCGCCGATGATGTGTTGACCGATGACTGTGGCGTATGCGACGATAGTGGCCGTTCATGACTATGGCTTGCTTGTGGCGCGAGTGGAGCGACATATGTTGCAGTGCTGCTCACTGGTGGTCGTGGGCTTGAAGAGACAGACGACACAGACCAAGGCCTACCAGTCTCAGCCTGATCTCGTGTGGCCAGAGAATGATGTGTGCGAGAGGAGACGGAATCAAGCTCGAATCTCGGCGGCGCGACTGATGTTTCGTTGGCGGTAGCGGTCGGCTCGCTGACCGTATGCGAGATGACGGGTCTGCGCGTTGAGATAGCCGGTAATTCTGAAGCAAATGTTGTGTTATATGTTTGGCTCGCAGGTAACTCATAGTTGGACGTTCGCGAGCTGAGCCGTAGACTATGTCTCGAAGTATGAGCTGGTTCGCTACCTGGCAGCTCTACTGCCAGATTCACATCCCCCAACAACTCCGATAATGTCTCCATCTTCTTGTCTTGGACGACGTGGGGTCTTGGGGCTAGAGTTGGCGCGGTCGGATGAAACGCATACGGGTTTACTGGCCCGTCCGAGTTTGTGCCACTCATGAAATTGTTGCCCGCCAGTTCTGCTGGCGCTTGATACCTCTCTGGATACGTATAGGCCCATGTGTCTTTTCCGACTGACTGTGTGTTATGCGCGTCATCACGTACTTCACTCAGCGATGACCGCGAGCTTCTATGGATCGGCTGATCAACACTAAGATGACGCTTGGTATCTTCGAGCGATGTTTCCAGGCGGGGACTGCGCTGTTCAGCCGATGTATATGTAGGGGGCGGACTGCTTGGTAGGCTGGGAGGCGATTGATATCGCGAGTTGTATGGCTTATAGTCTCGGTGGTCTGGCATTACTTGCATTTGTCCACACAACGACCGTAGAGTGGACTTCACCGCATCCGTGGTCGATGTGTCCTGTGTGTATGGTGCCTCGGTAAAGAACGACTTCTGGTTCGCTGACCACGGAGTGTTGTTGGCAGGGTAAGATGTCGTTCGATTGCTGTCCCCCAAGAAGACCTTCGGTGAGCCATCACCCAGTCGAGCGTGGCCGGTTGATCTTCTGTGCCGCGACACGATGTCATCAAAGTAGGTGGTATCTTGATACGTTGGAAGCGCCCCAGTACTGGGAAGGTCCTCCAAGCGATTAAGAAAGCTGAGTACATTCGACAACTGTTGATGGCATACCATGAGTTCGCTCTTGCGGTCCGCTAGTCGTTCTCGATCTTTGAGAATGTGTCGAAGTTTCTGAGATTGGTCTGAGACATCGTGATGCTGCTCGACGCTGCTGCAGTCCACCCATCTGCCAATCTCCTCCAAGGCGGAGGTGGTGTTCTCGATAGAACTCCGTATCCAAGGGAGTCTTTCAGGTGTGTTTGCGAGTTTTGTGCGTACCGAGCTAACGGCGACCAAACGCTCGACCTCGGACAGGTCGTTACGAACGATTCGTATCGTTCGCAAGAAGATTTCGCTCTCGCTTCCTATGTCTGCGCTACGTATCGCAAGATCAGCGAACTGAAACGCCTTGCTGACACTGGCGGATCTCGTGGGTATACCTGTTACATAGTAAGCTCTGTGCTGCGCTCTGATCGTACGGCATACATGCCTATGAGTCCGCTCATATTATAAGATGCCGATCAGTTCAAGCAGGAACGGAGAAGCTTCTCAGTGACGGTTGATGCTCATGATGAAACAGAGATGCAGGTCGTGAAGAACATGTTCACGAGCATGACAGCTGCCGGTGGGCGGCTCATAGACCCCCAACACTCTGTAAGCAGCGAAAGAACCAACAAGGCTGAACATGCGGGTACTGGAATACCCCTCATGCTGTGTTGCCGTGCTTCGAGAACCGATCTGCAACTCAGTGCTTCTTTCCACGGGCTGAGCTCATGCGTCTGTGCCTAAACATAGGGTCATTACTCCGCGGGCCATGATGCCGGGCCTTTCCAGATCATCGAACCCATCGACCTATGTATATCTCACAACCAGGTGTCTGCTGCGTGTGTCGCGGTGGCGAGTCGCAGATTGGACGGAGCAGAAAGGGACGCTCCTTCTCCGCGCCGGTGGCACTGGCGCTAAGACACATGGAGTTTAGTGCAAAAGCAAGCATCAACTTCGCTCTTCAGCCTCGTCCCTTCCTCCTGTGCGTCTCCGCCCGCACCCATCGCCATGTCCTACACGCATCTCAGCTGATCAACGGTTGCATTGCATACTGCATAAACTATCGATGAAACGCCATTTTCGCCCCACCACACCTCATCCTCATGCCGCAATCTCCTTTTCCAGCAGCACGCGTGACGGCACCAGCACCTGCCCCTGGTCTCCGATTATCTGTAGCAATGCTGGGAACACTGCCAACCCCCCATGTTCGCTAGAAAACCCAAAACGAAATACCCCGGGCTGCGCAAAGAGCAGAAAGGCGAAGTTTGCCGACCGCGCAAGAATCATGTCCAGATTCTTGCTGCGCTGAGCTTCCAAGCCACTCTGCACAAAGGGCGCCACGATGGCGTCCAGGTCTGCAGTCGCACTGGCGAATCTGTGGAATCGCTCCTGCGTATCCTGGCCAACTTGACCATGCAGGAGAGCTCCAGTCATAGCCTTCCATTTGCTGTACATGGCTGATTGCGCTGAGTTGTGGAGTTAGCTTCCCATTATAGACTTCCGGAGGCTGAGATGAACATACCGGCGTTTTTACCATCTCGTCCAGGAACAGCTGAGGCGAGCGGCGCAAGCTCTCCCGGAAGCAAGCTCTCAACGCGTTCTCCGGTGCATCTCGAGAGCACACTCCAGGCTACAATGAGGCGAAGCGTTTCGGCTCGGGTTGAGATGTTCGAGAGCATACTTGCGAGTACGGAAGAGCTTGTGCCGGTCGCAATCGCCAGCTCCCTCATGCTTGCCTGGTTGATGCTGGCTGCTGGGACCGGAGAAACATGATAAAACTCTCGAACATGGTTCTTGATATTGTCCCGTATGTTCAAGACTGCGCCAGTGATAGCGTCGTCTGCTACAGGCTGAGGTAGCATGTCGTCGATGTTCGAAGCATAAGCGCTGGTAGCGACTGTCGGGCCCTTCTCTACTTGCCCAGCAGCGCCATAATTGTGAGCATGAGGGGTGAGATGAGTTGGTGCTGGAATGTATCGCTTCTTCTTCTGACGGCGTAACAGGAAGAAGAACACAGCGCCAGCGATCAACAAGCCGACGAGAAACATTCCGATAGCCACTCCGGCCACCGTACCACCAGACAGCCCGTCGGTTGCTCGTTGCGTGTTCGTGGAAGGGTTGCCGTTTGCAATCGTACCATTGCTGCTCGGTGATGGACTAGCAGTTTTGGATATAACTACGGACTGAGATTGGCTTGCTTCTTCACTGCGTGAGCCAGTTGCCAGCGCTGCGCTTGAAGAACAATTCGGGGCACAGTTCGTTTGATTCGCAGCCGGGTCTGGGATTAAAGTTCCGGCAGGTGGCAGCACCGTAGCCGGGTCACCGACTGGTGGTGGTGGCGGTGATGCTGAAGCCGCTGGATCTGTGACTGCTGTAGCAGCCGGTTCTGTTACTGCGGGTATGGAAGCTGATGATGCTACAGACATTTGCGGAGTCTCTGCGACTTGCCTCCACACAAACTTCATTTTGGCGCCAACACCCTCGAGAATTAACAAGTGAACAGAAATAAGAAGAAATCGAGACAGCATTCTCTGATTGAGCTCGCGATGCCGTGATATAGGCTGTTCATACCTTGATTCGCTAGCTCAGCCCGATCAGAAATTATGCAGGCTTCAGCTGTACAACAGTAACGCAGGCTGCAAAGCTCTGACCACATTACTTTTTCGCCGGAAATGGCAAATGTTGACGAGGCTGGTACCAGCAACATGGTGTTGAGCTCTATGGTGTGGGGTCCGAATGCATTGTTGCCGAACGGTCATCAGCACAAGCCTGCGTGGCGTGTTACCATTGTACATCGGTCTGTCTCGCCGAATCAACATCGTGTAACACCGCCGCAAATATATTGGCATCGCAGCAGACCCCACGTTGTACTTTTTTTGGAGAGCGGTCTCGACCTGTTGGCAAGAATGAAGTGTGAGGCTGAGCCAAGTATGGCTTTCTAGTGGCTGGACAGAGAAGACTGGCACATCTCAGCCTTGCCATATCGTACACTGGAGATCAATAATTTATCAGCATCACTACGTCTTGTTAGACCCAGGCCAAATCGTACTGTTACTATCGCAATTACACACCCGATACACTTTCATCATGGAATGCTCACAAGCCCGACCTGACTTAGTTGTATCCATAGATTTTGGAATGACATGTAGGTATCGGCTCGCAGGTCTGTAGTAACCAAATACTCATCGAATTCACAGGTACTGGTGTCGCATACTGCAACGTAGCGACTGGATCTGATAATGTACGACACATTCAACGCTGGCCTGGAAGAACGCAAGCGAACGAGAACAAAGTAAGAGCTTTGATCCTATACCATGAAGTCCGAACTAAATCCCTGCAGGTGCCGACGTTGCTTGTATACCCACAGAACTCCGAAGCGCCGTCGTCATGGGGATTCCTTGCCGAAACCGCACAAGAGAGCAGTGGTGCAGGTCACGAGAGTAGGGAATGGTTCAAGATCATGCTCGACGAGGATTTACTAGAACAAATGAGATCCAAGTCCAGTGAGCCGTCGAAAGTACCACACATCAAGGAAGTGGAGAAATGGTAAGCTCGGTGCTTGAAGTCGGTCTCGCAGTGAACTAACGGTTCTCCAGGTACAAGGATTATTTCAGCTACCTCTACCGTACGATCGAAGCGCGACTACGAGGCGAACTCGCGAGCCGATGGGAAGACGCGAACATCGAGTTCATCTTCTCGGTACCTACAACATGGAAGCCTATACCCACTGTGGAACGATTCAGGAAGACGATCTCCGCAGCTGGTTTTGGGTCGTGCGCCAGCCACACAGCATCGATAGGGCTCACGGAAGCTGAAGCGGCGGCGGTACATACAGCGCGCAGCATGCCTGGTATCTTCAAGGTGAGTCGCCCAGCAACCCCTGGCATTCTCGTGCAGACGATGACTTTGCCAACAGGAGAACGAGTTACTCTTCGTATGCGACGTGGGTGGAGGTACAACGGTGAGAAAGCATCGTAGTGCCGCCTCATGGCTAGTTCGCTGAGTGTTATAGGACCTATCGGTTTTCCGAGTGAAGAACACTCAAGGTGGCTCTCTTACTCTCGAACAGATTGACGTTGTATTCGGTGGGTCCCTCACAGCAATATACCGATGCTATGCTGACTCCACGGAGGTGCCACTATCGGAGCCGCACAGCTCGACAGTCTATACGAAAAAGAAGTGCTACAGCGATTGGAGCATGCCGACCGACTTCAGCCAATGGGACTTCAGGATATACATCAGGCGGCATGGGAAATGCGAATCTCGAAGGAATACCAAAAGTTTGTTTGCATCATCGAAGAGAGCGATGACAACCTGACTGACTGCCCAGTGCAAAATGCGATTACGGCTCGGAAGAATCTTTGATGGACACCGAGACCTTTGCGGTGCGGGTGCCCAAACTGAATAAGGCGTACACCAATCGAGAATGCGCTATCAGCGGTGGCGACATGTACTTCCAACGGTTAGACTCACGCGTGCAACGCACTCGCGTCATCTTCGACTAAAACTTGTGTAGCGATGATTTGAAGGGCTTCTTCGATACTCAGGTGTCTAAACTTTTCGACATGATGGACAAACAGCTCGCTCGTGTACAGCAAAAGTTCCCATCCGAACAAGTGGTACGTCAATTGATATATCATGCTACAAGATCATGTTCTAACCCAGTGCAGTCGCATCTCGTCCTCTCCGGAGGCCTCGGCAACTCCGCATACGTTCAGAACTGTCTACGAAGCCGATACGCGTTTGGCAGTACACCGCACTCCAACGCACAGCATATGCAGATCCGCATCGCACCCGACCCCCAACTCGTGGTCTGCAAGGGCAACGTAGCCGACCGTGTGCAGAAGCTCAAGACCGGGCAGTCGGTACTTGGGTGGCGATGTAGCCGTGCATCATACGGAACGATGTGCAAGATGCTGTACGACCCGTTCAACCTCGCGCACTTTGGATTGAGGACAGAAATTGATCCTTTGGACAAGAAGGAATACGTCATGGATTGTATCGACTGGTTTATCAAGCAGGTAAGCGCAATCTATGGCTACAATATCATAACAAGACGCTGACTGTATCAGGGCGAGCCAGTCTCGAGCGACTTTCCCATAGTGAAGAACTTCCAACGAAAGTGTCCACCAGCCTCATCCAAGTACCCCAACCCACCGAGAATCTACCCCACGGAAGTAATATGCACAGAAGTCGACAAGTCTGAACTTCCAACAGTAAAAAACAACGGTAGGTGTAGATCCTCGACATGACGAAACACAATACTAAGATCCTCAGCCTGCCGCTCAATCTGCAAGATCGAATCCGACTTCTCGTCGCTCCCACTTTCCCTCTTCAAGCTCAAAAATCGACACTGGTGGAACTCCGGCCCGAAATACCACCGCATCAGCTACGTCGTCAAAGTTAACCTCGGGCCCGCTGATGTATCCTTCGAACTTTGGCATAACGGTGTCAAGCTCTCAAAAGACAACTCCATCAAGGTTGAGTGGCAAGCGAGTGCACCGCCTGATCCGAACGCGACAACGATTGCGCCGGACTTTCCGATGAACAGTTTGCCGGCGGTATCGAGCTATGATGCAGCGCATCGCCGTACGGTAAGGTCGGTTGGGGATGGTGGCGGTAGGCTGGGGGCGAATTGGGGGAAGTGGGAGAACAAGACTGGTGTCAGATCTCAGGTGATGTCTGCGTCGCAAAATGGGTCCAGGGTGTGGTAGGAAATAGTATCGTTCGCCTCCATGCGCATCGTGGATGGTTTCGCTGAGATTAAACTCCTCGTACGCAGGTTGCGGTTTTCGCGCGTTTGTCGTTCCCAGAGCCATGTGTTGATCATGTTTCCGTTTCTGTAGCGAAGTCGACCAGCGCCTAAAACCGCAGGAACACGGTGTTGCAAGCATACAACATGTTTATCGCAGAGTCTCCAACGTGCCTCTCAAACCCCGTCCATTTATCATAAGGTCTATCCAAATCACAGCATCGCACAACAGGAAAAGTGCCGCAACCGCCATGAACATAATCATCAGAACGGCGAAAAATACGCCACAAGCGAAAAATAGCTGGCCGACTTTTTCTTTAACAGCAAATGGCGGATCGAATAGCTGACACCGACACATAGGACATAAATGTCCACCTGGAGATTTAACGAGCTCGGCAAGGCAGTCTCGGCCCATAACGTGGTTGCAGGGAAGGAAGAGCAACCCGGCGTGAGTAGCGTCGTCATAGGATTCCCAACAGAGGCAGCATGTGTTGTCGTTGAATGTGTCGGTCGGCACCGCCGGGAAGGTCCGCCAAGTCAAGAATTCGTCTCTGGAGACGTAGAGGCCGAGGAAATTTTCGAACATGGCTGGTGTTTAGTTGGGTTGTAGGTCTGTAGAGTTTGTTTAGTACAGCACGGAATGCGACGGCGTGTTAAGTATAAGTGAGCGGTAGGTAACCAGGGATGACAATGATTTTGGAGATGGTTGGTACCATACCATCAAATCAGTTTTCCACGCTGGACGAATGAGAAGAGGGCTGTTTGCGCATATTGGACAACGGAGTGGTAGAACCAAGGAACATGATTGTGATACAGAATGTTAATTTACTTCAATGCGTAGAAGTACACTTATTGCAGGTGGATGCCTATAAACGACGCTTAAACATTCCCGTACCTCTGCCACTGAATACCAACCCACTCATGATTGGAGTTGACCTCCAAAAATCGACGGATTATAGATGGTCCCTCCGTATAGCAAACTTATTACGATTTGAGCAAAGCATAAGCGAACCAAAACGACCGAGAATACGGTCGTTGAGAAGATGACACGGTCGCGCCGACTCAATAGTCGAAGATCCATGCAACCCACGGGTGCGCTAAGTGCGATGGCGCAGAGGAACAGCACTGGAAGCTTCTGCCACTGCCATGGGGTCTGGAAAAGCTCGTCTACTAGGTAGAAAACGTCGGTCTTCACCGCCAAGGCTTTGGACCGTCCTGATGAAATCAGGAGATGAACATAGAGGGCTTGAACGTACGCGTAAATCCGCCTCCCCAGTTCCAGCTGGGGTTGTAAGATCGGGTTCCTCGGATATATGTCGGTCAGGCGCTGTAGAACGAAGTCGATCTGGTAGCATACGTTCGACATGTAGTACCAGGAGTTGACGACCTTGACTGGAAACCTGATCCAGGCTGGAAGTCTGTACCAGAACGGTTGGAGTGACGGTTGGAGTGTGTACCAGAACGCCTGGAGTCGACCGAAGGCGAACATTGCCCAAACTTGCAGACGTATAAAGTAGTCCAGAAGGATACGTCCGAGAAAAACGTTGGTAGGAGGCTGAAACCATACTGCTCGGCAGATGGGACATTTGTCTCCATTCGGGGCGTTGGTCATGTCTTCGAGGCAGACGTCTCCGAATACGTGATCGCAAGGCTGCACGCGAACAGCGCGGTGATCTTCGTCATATGGACCCCAACCTAAGAAAATTAGTACATAGTTACATATCAGGTGAGGGGGAAGTACTTACAGAACGTGCACTTGTCTTCGTAGAATTTGTCTTGGTCGCTAGCGCGGACGACATTCTTCTCCAGGAAGGTCGTCTTCGTAATACCGAATAGCTTTTCGAACATGGTTGTTGTTTAGGTTGTGGTGGTGAGTTTGGGAAGCTGTTGTAAGAGCCACGCGATTTTAAATAGTCGTGCAGACGTGTCAGTCCACTCCAATGTATTGGAAAAAGGATTGAAGGACAGGGCGCATTGTGAAATAACTCAAGTTGTTGGAGAGTGAAAGATAAGGTGAAATTTGAGAGAACATTCACTCGTGATAACTGCGGTGACCAGAGGCGACGAGCCAACCACACATCCCGCATTCATACGACTAATAGGTAAGGAGATACTCTACGAAAGAGAGAAATATCGCATCTCCGGGAACCTTCATTGTAATTATTGCGTATAAGTACAGTTCATAAAGCGAGAGGCGACCATTGGTGATGTGTGAAGTGCTGGTGTGGGCGCCACATCAAGCCGTCTACATCCATGAACCAGAACCTGTAATATCCTTCGGAACTTCCAAACTCGGACGAATGAGCAAAGGGAAGAGATGAGTGGAAACCATAGTCGGTAAGCATGGAGGAAAGACGCGGGCAGTCTCCACGTGGATCCGCGTCACGGGCGCAGTTTAGCCGAGCACTAGCGCGCTGGCGCGCCAGCTACAAAACCCCGCCAAAAACTATTTCCTTGCTCCTCCAACGGCCTGCCTCGCCAACGCTGCGTTTCTTTGCACACCTACAGACACTCTCTCGAGAGCACGTCCTACCCTGCAAATGAGAAATTCGGAGTAATCTTCACTTTTTATCACGCCCACTTTGTGGGCTGTACTGCTCGTAAGAGCCTGGCGTAACTCACGTCTGCATCCGGCATCAGAAAACTCAGGGCGCCAGAAAGCGCGACTTCCTTGCTTCGGCCGGAGGGAGCGTGGAACTGGTGGCCCTATGGGAGTCGGTGCGAAGATTGTGTGCTTTGAACCTTCGGGTGAGAGGTGACACTGTAGTACAATACGCAGCGTACTTGACCTTTAGTAGCCTTTTGGGCGAAAGAGGGCACGGTATCATTCGATTCTGATTACTCTGGCGAGGCAGGCCGTTCACCCTTTTTTTACTATGTAAGTGCGCTTTGCGCTGTCTTCTCTGGTTCGAGGATACTGCTAATAAAAACTCATGCGAATCCAACCTAACGAAGCGCTACGACTACTGCGCGATCTTCCTTTTGTCTTCTACCTGAAGCGCTTACTCCTGCGGCTCCGATGCCACGTCCTTCTCCAGCGCATACATGATGTCTGTCCGCAACGTATATTTGGTACCCTTCACAACGTCATCGCCCGAGTGAATGAGGAAGCGATGCTGGAAGAGCAGTACGCGTCCGGCCTTTGGCACAACGTCGATACGGCGCTTCATACTGCTGTTGAAGAATGTAGTGGCGCCGCCCTCGAGCTGTTTCTCTCCGCTCTGCGATACCGCGTCATTCAAGTAGAGATGCACGGTGAAATAAGAGCGCTCGGTGCCGTCGGGCGTTTCGTAGGTCCCATCGCAATGCGCTGATCTAGTCAGCAGCTATAGTCGCAAGATGCAATGCAATACATACGTTTGAAATACTCCCCGCCGATGTACTTGAGATAGCGCCCACGTTCATTGAGTCTGGTCACCTTCCACGTCTCGCCCCGTCTCGCTGGGCCGTTGCCTGTGACCTCGACCCAGTTCTGCAATCGATGGATCTCAGGCACCGAGGCCTCTATCCTCGCCCATAGCTTGGCCATGATGTCTTTGTTGTCCCAGATGATGCGCCCACACTTTCTCGTGTCCTCATACATAGCCTGCATGCCTCCACCAACGTTGACCAGAGCTCTTTCCCACTTGCCGTTTGTGGTCGCCTCGGCTGCTTGCAACAAAGCGTTGCACTCGTCTTCAGAGAGGACACCATCGAGTATGACAGCCCATGACTTTTCGTCTTCTAACAGGCCAGCCTTTTTGAAATCAATTTTTGACCTGGTCAAATTGGGCGCTGGGCCTTCGAGGAACCCATTGGGCAGTGTATATGTGGAGGGCGGAGGGCTGGGCTGGACGGATGTCCGACCTTCGCGGGTGCGAAGCAGGTCTTCCTTCAAGTCAGTGGGTAAGGTTCCAGCAGCTGCCATTGTTGATAGATATCGCACTGAAACTGAGAAGGCTCGCAAAGGAAGCATGTCCTGGAATGTAGTTTTGAATTTACGCAGACTATAAAGGCTGCGCCGGGCTGTGAAACCAGCTGACTGCTGCCTGGAAGCCGTCGATCCATACGAGAGGCATTGAGGCCATAAGGCGTCTGTCTTACATTTCGTGCTTATCGCCTACACAGAACGCGTGAAAGCTTTGAGGAGCGACTTCCTGCTCATCTTATGCCTTGGTTGCCCCGGAAGAAACAAGCAGTAGCTCCATGACGACGGGTCCCTGGGGTGGCCAAGGGACGATGATCGGCGAAAAGAAAGCACAGTAGCTGGACAAATTACTTCTAGACATTCGGCTGCTGGCTTCTGCGCTGTGTTCTCAACGTTTCACCTACCATGGGTGACAGCTGCCTTGTTAGCTGTCCAGGTGTTGCTGGGTGCTGGGGTGGCAGGGACTGTCACGTGGAAAGGCAGTAGCTATTCGCGGCCCTTCTCGACCCTCACAGCCTCGCGTTTCAGGCACACGGGCTGCATCCGAGCTGCATCATCATCGTCACCGCGCACGACTGATCCACCAGCTCATCCACAGGACACGAGTCGGACGCAGCACAGTGAAGGCAGTTTCATGTGACCCGTTGCTTCTTATCGACACCAGCGCCGTCGTGCAGTGCGCGACCCAAGCCCATCGCAAGCCACTGCCGCTGCCTCCCTGCTCCGCCAACCGTCGCGCCAAGCTAGAGGTGCCGACTTCACTCCTAATTTCCCGCTGCCACGCCAGCTTCACGACGCTCCGAGGCGCTGACGCGACGCCGCAAAGCTCAATTCCCGCGACCTGACCGCCGTTGCCCATTTCCCACCGTCTATCAACACGTCGTCCCTGGCGTCGCGACCGGCCGGACCACCACGCTCGCCGTTCGCTCAGCAACCACAGCACTAGTCACGCAAACACACCGCCCGCCGCCAGCCTACGCCAGACCCTGCGTCTATCGTCTATCGCCTATCGATACCTGCCATTCTTCACCCACCAGCGACGATCGTCGCGCGCCTCTCGTTAACACCACCTCTCCCGACTCACCGCAGTCATGTCGCACCCCCAGGATGCCGGCTCCCCGGTGCCTCCAGCCCACCGCAATCGATTCCCAACGCTCTTCGAGGTCCTTAGTAGGACAACGAGACCACCGCTAGATCTCTTCTCCTTCTACATCTACATGCGCGACCAGCAGCGCTCTGTGGACTACTTGGACTTCTGGTAAGACACTCCCGTGTCCAGGCTCTTGGACCACGCTGACCACCAACAGGCTCGATGTGTCGCAACACTTGCAGCTATGTAGGCTTTACGTCCGACGGTTACACAGGAGCATGATAGAAGAAACTCCTGATCTTGAGAAAAACAGTAGGCGTTCGTCCTACATGTTGAACAATGCTGGAGAAGGCCCTTCTAACGAGAAAGGTGAGAATTTGTCTGACCAGCGCTTGTCCGCCTTTCTTCGTTCCGACCGCGGCAGCCGCAACCACTCGCCACAAAACAGTCAGGGTAGCAATCAGAGCCGAGAGTTCCCGCGTCCAAGCCTGAACTTGCTAGACACTCCAGGTGATTCGAGCTCGCCCGGCCAGAACTCGTCCACCGACAACACACAGCCAAGCAGAGAGGACTTGCGCGCGTCGGCAGAGAAGATCCTGTACACGTACTTGCTCCCTGGGTCCGAGCGAGAAATCATCATTCCCCAGAGCATCCTGACCGAGGTTCAAGATGCCATAGAAGGGCCAGAGCAGCGTGCGGATCCTGAGCTCTTTGATAGTGCCAAAGACTACGTCTTCCAAGCCATGGAGCGCGACGCATACCCGGGCTTCCTGCAGAACAAGGGTCTCGGCAACCTCGTGCCCCAGAGCATGATGCTCCGTCTCATAGTAGGACTGATCAGCTTCTTTGCAGCCATGTGGACGTCCTTCATTCTCATATTCCTTGACAAGTCAAGAAGCACGCGCTGCTGGGTATGTCGTCTTTCGGTTATAGAATGGAGAATCAACTAATGTTCTGCGCAGATCATCCTCCCATTCACTATCGCCATCTACCTCATCTTCACGCACCAGTACATGCTTGACCCAATCCTCGCCCTGGCTGGATACAGCGAGTACACCTTCTTCGACTTCAACCGGATCAGGGAGCCATTCGTCAAGAAGACGCTGAACAGGCGCTCCATCACTGTCATGGTCATGTTCCTGGCTGTCACGGTGGCTGTCTGCTGTCTCTTCATCTTCGTTCCAGGCAAGCGCCTGTAAGCCAGTGCAGCTGCATGGCTTGTTTTGATACCACATGTAATGTTTGTTTATTCTTGGCGTTGTCAGAAAGCGAAGCGCGGAGGGAATCAAGGCCAGCGGGGACATGGAGAAGATACCCCCTCGCTTCGTCGCCATCCGACCTCGAGCAGGCTTTCCTTTGTTTTTGACCTATGCTTGGATTGGCCATGTTCTGGTTATGGACGGCTGTTCTCTTTCTCGAGCATGGTGTTAGGCGTTCTCTGTGAGACGATCAATAGCGAGTTCAACTGAGATATAACCCCACCAATCGATATTCATCATCAGCAATGCTCAAATGCCATGTGAAAGTAGTCAAGCGTGAGATGTATGCACCCCTGATTGACGTTTGGCGAGCCGTTAGGTGTGGAGTTGGTGCATGCACGCCAAGGCGCAATGACGTGAACCGCGGCCGGCTTTCACAACGTCGAAGTGCATCTTACGTCCATTATCGGCAGAGTGCGCGCATCAGCAGTCGCGCCCTGTATAGCTCTACCAACACCACTACCAGCCCTTCATAGACTGAAGCCTTGATCCTCCAGTCGCCTGCAATCGCGACATCTGACGTGCCAAACCTTCTTGCAGCTACAGGCACTAGCGGAGTGGATAGCAGCAACCAGCAAAATGAGCGGGCCAACAGCTAAGAGCAAGAGAGGGCCGACGGTGCTCATGACCGACAGCCGCGACGCTGCACCCCGAGCACCCCAACGACCCGGTGCAGGACAGCGACAGGCGACAGGCGCGCGCTTGATCTCGGTGGACAACATCCTGCAGTACGCCTCGGACATTCCCTCGCAGCAGCAGCGACGCGGCCCACCTGGCAACGCCAACCGCCCCATCATGCACACGCGCACCCCCAGCGGACGCCATCCGCTCGATCCCAGACTCACTGGCCGCCTCATCCCCCAGCACATGCCCACGCGCTCCAGCAAGCTCAGCGAAAAACTCGTCCTGCTGCCCGAGACGGAAGGCCAGGAAGAGGACGAGAAGGGCGACTTTGACGACGACGAGTACGAGGGCCCGCCCACCGACGAAGACCTCGCGCGACGGACTCCCAAGGGTGGTCCAAACGACAAGAGCTATGCAGAGCGCCTGCCCAAAGCAAGGCGGACGGACAAGCTGTCGCGCGTCACGGCCTACTGCACCGCCCAGGCCTACAAGATGAAGAGCACCGCCCAGTTCGTCAAGGACACACACAATGCGCGCACCAAGCTGTACGACGACTGCCTCTACACGGTATACCATCTCCCGCTGCTGCCCGGAAACGATGGCTACCGCGTCCGCAGTAGCCCGGCGCTCAAGAGCCCAGGTGGAAAGACGGTGCTCGACGAGGAGATTGAGCGCAACGAGCAGCGCGATCACCACGAGGGCTATTTTGGCGACGACGAGACATACTACGTGCGCGACGACCACGAGCTCGACCAGCCCTGGGACGGCATGCACGACCGCCGAGACTCGACCGAGAACTCCAGAATCGCGCCCAATGCGCTGACTTTCGGCGAGATGTTCGTCTTCTCGTACGGTGTCGTCGTTTTCTGGAACTTCACAGAGAAGCAGGAGAAGGACATCTTGGCCGACCTTACCTTCTCTGCCGTCGCTACCGGAATCAACATCGCATCCCGACCCTTAGCCGAGTCCGACTTCGAGACGGAAGAGTTCCACTTCGAATACAACCCCGAGATCCAGCGACCCCGCGTCTACAACGATATGATTACCCTCAAGAGCGGAGACCACATGATCAAGCTAGCCATGAGCCACGCCATCGCGCAGAGCACCAAGCTTAGTCTGTTTGAGGAGAGCATGAGCCGGACGATGCTTGCCGCGCAATACGTACCGAAGCGCTTAGCACTTACCGGAAAGTTGGGCATGAGGAGAACGGATGTAGTCAAGATGATTGGACAACTCTTCACCAGCCGCGTCGAGGTGAACCTGTGTACGTATTGAGACACCCTCTCACGACCTATCAACTACTAATCACTCTTTCAGCATCCAATATGCTCGACACCCCAAGCTTCTTTTGGGACTCTGAACCTACCCTCCACCCACTCTACACCGCCGTCCGCGAATACCTCGAGATCAAACCCCGCATCCAAGTTCTCAACGAGCGATGCCAAGTCTTCTTAGATCTGGGCGAGATCCTCTCCGACTCCATCAGCGACAAGAAGATGACGAAGATTACGTGGATCATCATCGTACTCATTGTCCTGAGTATCTGCATAACGTGTCTGGAGGTGCTGCTCCGGTTCGCTATTCTGCAAAAGGGCAGGACTAATGTTCCTGTGGCTGGAGATCTAGAAATCAGAGCCGTGGGCGGACTCAAGGGTATGGGTCCGCCTGCGTATGCTGGGCCGGGCCTACTCGCTGCGAGGAGTTTGGTTTGGTTTGGCAGTGGGGTGAAGGGTCTTTTAGTTGGTTGAGCGCATGACGTGTGATAGGGAACAGAGGGGTAATAAAGATCACGATGACATGGATCGATTGGTTATCCCACGGGCATCTACAAGAAGGCGCATTGCTATTCGGTCGCGTTGATATCATTATTCTAGGCATCAGCGATGGGCGTTTCTGGTCGGCGCCAAGGGTGTGTTCTTTAGTTCTACAAACTCTAGACTGGGTATACGTGTAATTCTGAAGGGTCCAGTTCCAGACAAGAGCGCATTGTCAAGCTCCCTTCCCCCTCATCCTCTCTTCTGCATCGTGATCAAGCACAGCGCATACGTGTAGTCTTTTCAAGTATCAATTTCCAGACAAGTCAAGTCATCCACGTTTACCTGCCATGTTCCCCGCTCTTCCATCGTGATCAAAACCTCCCTTTCATCGCTAGGCTGTGTAACTTCAATAGGCTCTATGCCAGACTAAATACATCATTATGTCTTGTACCCCATCCAGCCCTCCTACCTATCATCATAAAATCCCCCCTTTGTATTCCCACATCCCCCTCCCAGCACTTTGATCCTCCATCTCCCATCCACATCCTCACCACCCACCACCCACCAAACCAACAATGAAACTCACCACCCCCCTCCTAAACCTCCTCACCCTAACCACCCTCCTCATCCCCTCCACCTCCGCCCACAAAGACAAGAAGAAAGCCGCCGCAGAACTCAACCGCGACATGACCGCCCACACCCTCGAAGCCAAAGCCGTAAACTACATGGTCTTTGTCGAGCCCCTCTGGCACTTTATGCAGATGTGGAAGAACCATGAGGCTACGTATGGTGTTACGGATTTGACCTGGGTGACGGATGTGTGTACGGGGGTTGACGATAGGCCGTTTCATTGGGACTGTGAGTTTATTGGTTGAGGAGAAGGGGGGAGAGGGATGGAGAGCTGACGGAAGGTAGTTAAACCGGCGTGTATTCGACATGATTTTGCGTATAATAATTTTAGGAGACAAGGGAGGTTGGGTCATGTGAGTTATTGCTTCCTTTCTTCACCATTACCGCGCTGGTCTTTTTCTTGTTTCTTGTTTCTTGTTTTCCAATACACGAGAGCCACAAACTCACTAAGCCAAACAACAGCAAGCCCGCAAGAAAATCGACAAGAACTTCAAGCAGGACATGTACGATCAATGCGAGAAGGAAAAGCATAAACATATGTGCCGGATTGGCGCGAAGCTTTATTATGCCGGTGTGAGAGTTATGGGAAGGAGGGATTTGGTTGAGCCGGAGACGAGCATGATGCATGCGACTGGAATCGCCCATGCTACCACCGAGGACACTGCTGCCATCGCTGCCATTGCCGTCGACTCCGGTGTTGAGATTAGTGCTGAAGAGAGGGCTCAGAAGGTGTTTGAGGCTTGGATTGCGGAGCTGCGAGCGCATCCTGAGGTGTTGATAGAGATGACGGAGAAGGATTTGGAGAATGTGGAGGTGGCGCTTGATGAGGGGATTAAAGACATCGAAAAGGGTGATGATGTGCAAGAAGAGATGGCTGCTGTTGGTCTCTGATGAATTTTGCGAGCTACTGGGACGACGCAAGCATATCCGCTGTGTCACGGTCCAAGAGATCTCCGTATCTCCACCCATGCACGATATCTACAATCCAGTACTACCAATAGCAATACCACCCCATCTACCCCACCCCTCTACGTCTACTCCTTATCCACAGCAAAAGCCTTCAAATCATCCATCGCCACCCCCTTCAACGCCTTCTCATTCGTCGCCTTGAGCACAACCCTCGGCACCTTCTTATCATCCATGCCCGTCCTCGCATCAAACGCCTCCTTCCACCTGCTCACACAAAGACACCACTTGCATCCATCCGTCAGCCCCACTTGGCGCAAGTCGTTGCCCCGCGCGGCAGAGAAGTCGAGGAACTCTTTCGATACGACACCTGCGATGGCGTGGTTGCCGGCGTCCGAGGCGGGCACTTCGCAGTAGCCTGAGCGCGTGAAGCCGGTTAGGGGCTGTGTCGAGTGGAGCGCGAGGGGTTGCTTGAAAACTGTGGTGTGTTAGTCGTGGTGGGCTGGTGATGGGTGTCCTTGTATACGTCTGGCATGGACATGCCGCCTGTTCATTATCGAATCGCAAACACCCGTCGCAGTGCATGAACGACGTTGAGACTGCGAAACGCGTGCCTGAAGATCCCAAGTCCGCGACGAAACTGTTTCATGCAAATGAACACAGGATCGGGATGTCGCGTAACCGTTTGGCTGGATCCCCAACGTTGAGACTTGAGACAAGCAATGCGGGATCCCCGATGTCTTGTCTCCCCTTCTCCAATTGAACCATGTGATGTTACGTACCGTTTAGAGACATACTGCCAGCTTCTTCCCGTTGCTTTTCCCCGTGATTCTGCACCGGCGCTCTTTCCCACTTAATCTGCACGTCGTGAACGTGAGCGTATTCGCGTTTCGGAGCTGTTCGTGCTGAACGTGTAAAGTTGGAGAGGAGATTGCGTAGTAAGCGCATGAGTGAGGATGTGGCAGGAGCACGCGCGGTTATTAACGTGCACACAATGGTTGACGGCTTGACGGGTGGTGGTGTGCTCAAGATGGCGTCAAGGGAGCGTTAGAGCGGAGGTTTAGCGCGTAGGGCTGAATGGATGACGTTTGGCAGGGGGGTAGCTGCCGCAGATCTCGAGAGCTGCGCGATCGGCTGTTGCACCATCGTGGGCCGCGGCTGGGATCTGGGCGTTGGGCGTCTTTGCCGGGGAGCGGGCCTGGGAGCGGCGATCGGCGCGACGATCTAGATTGTGATGCCATCGCATGTGGTGATGGGCGCAATTGATCTGTCGTCCCTCATATTGTTATTCGGGGTCTTGACGTGCTGGATGTGGTGTTTGTGCAGGCTGCAGCAATCATGTCTTTACCCAGCATGTGGCGTTAGCAGACTCTAAGCAGACTATAGGCACCACGAAGTGATCGGCATGTCTGGACAGAGTTCGCACGGAGGTTTATTCATGTTGAGAAAGGCTGCATCATCTGGGATGGTATTGATTTGGAGTGATTGAAACAGAGCTACTGCGCTATGCAATTGTTCGTAGATGACCCTTTTCTGTAACCGACAGCATTAAGATATCATCGCAGTCGTGGATGTAGAGAGCGATCGTGGGCGACACGTATTGATGAGTAAGGAAAGTAGAAAATATACAAAAACACCGTATCCCAAATGCATCCGTGACCGGTCTTGCCATCCAAACGCCGCCAGTAGGAAAGAGCCCAAACACCTTTTTGTGGGTATGCAATTCGCTGCCATCCTTAGGAGATCGGTAGGCCGTGGGTATATATGCAGGTTGTAATGTAGTAAGTCGTATGCGCACTAAGCGCAGCGTCGTGAGTGACAGGTAGTGTGCGGTGCTCATCGGTGCACGGCACCCGCCTTGATCTCTCTCTTCATCTCCTCGAGCTTCTTATGCATCTTTAGGAGGTCGTTCCTCTGCGCCTCGGTCGGGGGCTTCTCCGCCTCCGTCAGCTGCCAGTACAGCTCCTCGTACTTCTTGTAGTACTTCTGGAACCTCTGCGAGAGCTCGACAGTCTGTCGGAAGCTCAAGTTGGGCATGGAGGGGGAGGTGGTCGATGTGGAGGAGGCGCCTGGGGATGCGCGTGGGTTGTTGTGGTGGTAGCGCGAGGCGAGGCCGGTGTCGATGTTAGCGACCTTGCGGACCTTGGGCGCAGTGGTGGGAGTGTTGGAGGAGGAAGAGTCGTCCGACTTGCGCTTCAAGGAGCTAGTACTGGAAGGGGTAGAGCCGTTGGCCTTGCCGTTGGTGTGAGAGGGGGTGTGAGTAGGAGTTGCGCGGTCGCCACTCGGCTTCTTCACAGCCAGGTTGTGGTTGTGGATGTCGCTGTCGATGTCGTTCGCCTTGCGCTTGAGCGAACGGTCAGAGTTACCACCGGACTTGGCGGGCGATGGAGCTGCCGCAAGCGCCTTGTGGACTGGGTGCGAGTCCTCGAAGTCACTGGCATTGACAGGCGGCGAAGCGGACAACGGTGAAGGATTCTTTGGCTTGGTGTTGATGGGCATGGTGGGCTTGAAAGGCCGGTTGGCGGGGCGATCTCGCTGGGAATCGCGGCCACTCATCTTGGGTTTTGCGCGTGGGTTGGTGGTGCCTTCTGAAGCGGGGGCTTTCTTGTTGCGTATTTTCGAGGCGTCGGTAGCTGGTGTATTGGATTTGGAAGGTGCGACGGGGCGAGAAGTTGAGCTTGAAGGCGTCGAAGAGGCTGGGGTTGTTGCTATTGTGGGCTGCTCCTCCTTCACCTCTTTCACGCTCACTTCCTTCGCGGCCGCGGCTGCCTTCTCACGGGCCAAGTACTTCTCCTTCATGGACGACTTCGGCTTGATCTCTACTTCCTTGGCGGCCTTGGGCTTCTTCTCGACTGCAGGCTTGTCGGCAGCCTTCTTCGTGACCGTCTTCTTCTTGGTGAGATCAGATATCTTGTGCATTGGGGTGCTCGCTTTGGGCTTGGCTTCAGGCGCTTTCACCGTCGAACGCGACAAGCATATGCCCTGGCCTCTCTGGTCACGGGGCAGCAGGATCTGCCAGAGCTTGTCGTCCTTTGCCAGCCGCTGGCGGTCGAACGACTTGATGGCGGCATCAATGGCCTGCTGCCGGTCCTCGTCGCTCTGGTAGGGGAACTTGAACGGATTCACCTCACGGAACGACTTGTCCGTCAGCTGCCACTTGTCGGCGTCGGCAGTGGAGCGCTTGGCGATCTTGGGCAGGACATCTCGTATGTTGGCCAGCGACGTCCTGCAGGTGGCGGCGAGAGAGGCCTCGGTGGCGGGCTCCCGCGCAAGGAGGTGGATGATGGGCACCCGGAGCGCGCTGACGATCACGTCATGGCTATTGCTCGGCTGCGAGGTGGGAGCCCGCTTGTGCATGGGCGACGACGACGCGCTGAGCGAGGGCGAGCCCAGCATGGAAGGAGCGAGGTGCGATGCCTTGAAGCCCGTCGACGGGAAGCGGCGATGGGCTGGTGTGCGCCCGGGAGCAGCATCGCCGACAATGGTCCTGCAGCAATCTTTGTCAGTCCTGGTATACACAACTTCGTCTCATCATGGCAATCATCCGCGACAGGGGTGCTCGAGTCTCTCGACTTGATGCCAGAGATCGTGGGCAGCCATGGGATACCGGGGAGGCATACTTGTTGGCTTCCTTGAACTCTGATATCGCAGCCATGTTACTCCGTAGCTGCTCCAGCGCCGAGTCTACGCCTGCCGTCACGTCCTCCGCCTTATGCACCATCAGACTGTGGTTGATCATGCCCGCGAACTCGAGGCTGTCCGGGCTGCCAGTCCCGCTGGACTTGTACAATTCGTATCGGTGGAGCTCGCTGCTGCTCTGCAGCATGTGCGTCTTGTCGCCATACTTGAGTTGCTGTTGTTGTGGTTAGCCCAGCTCGTGCCAGCCCCCATTCCGGGTCGAACCACCCAGGAACACCTAGGTAGCAACACAACACCAAGCGTGCACACATACTGGAGTCCGTCCGAAGATTATCTGCGGTGATTTTCCGCTCCTGACACTGGCCAGGAGCTCGTCGACAATGTCCTGGGTAATGTCCACCTGCATGGCCTGCACAGGCGGTCGTCTGTCGTCCTTAAGTCCGGCGTCGCTATCCGGAGCCCCGACAAGGGCTATGCCGCCCGGGGGAAGCAGCGAGGTCGCCATGTTGGTATTTTTGGCGTCTATGGAATCAAAGAGGCGGAACGAGGTGTGAAGCTCGCACCCGGATGTTGCTAGGAGAGGCAATGCATGGAGAGAGCACCCAGGCACTGAGCGAAGAGCAAGCAGTGCAGTCGGGTCCGAGGCAGAGACCCGTCACAGACGTCTCTGGCGTTTGGGTGAGGCGTTGGTAGGCTCGAGGAGGACGGAGGAACGAACAAAGGACGCTGCTCGGAGGACCGTCAGACAGGTCAGACTGTCACTGTCATAGCGCGCCCGGAATCCAGCGAGCAAGCGTGCACGGATATCAAGGTACGATGCTGAAACGATTGGTTGTCACGCACAGGATCAACGGCTGGGAGAACCAGACAATGTTGCTATAACGATGCAGTGTATTCACACGCAAAAGTGAAGGGTAGTGAGCTGGACGGAGGCCGAGCGAGTTGCGGTGTTGGGCCAGCACACATGCCTGAGAAGGCGGTGGTGCCGACAAGGGCGGTCGAGGCATAGCACGATTACGCTTCAGGGTGCCAAATCCAGCGGCGGCCCGCTTGCAAGGTACCTCGTGCTACCTCAATCTGTGGCCGCTGCAAGGCATTGCCATTCACGCCCACTGGTCCCATTTCGTTTTATTAAAACAGCATGCTCGTCACGGTACGATGCCATCATCACAGCATGCAAAAAGCGCAGAGCGACAGCTTTTGACTCGGGACTCGATCTCCAGTGCTGCGCCATATTCCAACACGCTGACCAGAGCTGCACGGTGTGCTGAGTCTGGCAAGCCTGGGCGGGTCCACCATCACTCGTGGCAGAACTGCGGGCAGCAAATGGCCTGCGTTTAAAAACG